CAGTTAGTAGAGAACAGGCTGGCGTCGGGCCAAACCCAGCCCATGAAGCGACCCAGCGTCCGCAGCGAACAAGTCTGTATATTAAAATAATCAGGATCCTTCACTTCGGATTCGGTATGACTCGGAAATGGGACAGACCGTAGTGGAAACCATGGGTGAGCTACACATGGACATTATCAAAAACCGACTTGTTCGAGATTATGGTCTCAACGTATTTGTTGGTCCCCTGCAGGTTCGCTACGTGTTTTTTATTGATTTTTGTTTGTCAATACTCAAGGAAAAGAAGTAAAAGATTACTGCAATGACACTAATGTCCGATTTATATGTGAATCAAAAAAAGCAAATCTTTTGCGAGTTAGTTGACGTGTTGTAAAATAAAAAGGGGAAACATCAGTGACACAGGGCGGTATACGGAATGAAGGTGGAGGGAAGCGGTGGACTTGCTGCTGCTAGGCATTCCACTGCTAGGCGTTCCACTGAATAGTTCAGAATGTTCTCTTCCCACTTATATTTGCAGTATCCTTCCATCTTCGAAGAAGAATTTCGTCGTTTATCACAACAATTCAGATAGCCTATCGGGAGATTGTGGGCGAACCTGTCACACAGACAGCCACTGCCCAAGACGTCATGGAGGAGAAGAAGCGAGTCCACAGCGCCACCCTCACTCTTACTATAGAGCCCAGGACAAAGAGTGGGAAGTTCAAAGGGGTTGGTTTTTCATTTTCTTCTTCCGTAGTCACTTCCTTCCTTATTCACTGCCATACTTATCGTACTCGCTCATATGTCACCCGTTGTGAACTTAATTTTTAGGCACTGCGGCAGAGAAAGTTCCTAGTTCCATAGTGACATATGTTCGGAATCAGTCATTCGTTCATACTCATATAAATTCAGGTTCGGCTAGGACTACCGCACGATTCGCCAACTGTTCGTGCAGACTGGCTCAAAGCCATAAATGAAGGCTGTCAGAATGCTCTCCATAATGGACCAATACTTGGTTTTCCTGTGCAAGATGTAGTTATTACACTGAATGAAATCAACACTAGTGGAGGACGAGTCAATCCTGCAGTATGTAAGTAAGATTGAGATTTTAAGGCAGCTAGCTCGATATAAATTTGGAACTTCGGTAAATTTCCTCTCAGAGATCGGGTGAACGTGACTTTTTCAGTGTCCGCTTGTGCGCACAAATGTGTCTCAGAGGCAATCGAGAAGGCCAGAGCTCATTTGATCGAACCTGTCATGCGGCTTGACATTACTTTGGAAAAAGGCAGCGAAGCGCAACCGATCCTTCACGAGTTGTCAAGGCGGCGAGCAGACATCCTTGAATGTTGCGGAACACACTGTGAGCAAGAATTACAATTCATTTCTCAACTGTGGTTTTTTTTTCTATCCAGGCAAAAATCTTCACTATAATCCTCGTTTACGTAAATGCAAGTGGAGGAGCGCCTTTTTCCAGTTTCAGAGAGCGAGCATACATAGGATAGATACGATGCTCAAATCGCCTGTGCGTGGAGGTGATAAAGCAGCGGCTATTGTGAGCGCACAATGTCTAGAGTTCAGGGACTAGTAGAAATTTGAGCAAGGATCCTGGCGCGAAAGGTTAGAGTGCAGAGAAATGGAGGCCTACGGCTGCCAATGTCTCGAACGGTAGAAAAACATGTCGCGAGACAGAGGATGGGCTTTTTAAGAGGAGCAAACCCTGGGTTGGGTGATTCAGTTATCGTGGTGAAAAGTTGGAATGTGTAAGGTCACAGTGATCATACAATGCTGTGAAGACGGAAGAGCGCAGAGAAAAGCAGGAACTTGACGCGATTGAAGGGACAAGGTCGGTGTTGTCCGGATACTTAAGATTCAGGAATCCAATATCCACCTATTTCTAAACAGGGTATTAATTGGGAATAACCTGCATCAGAGGGTTGGTTCACTCACTCCGGAGCTGCTCCCTCTAGACTTGAGCCGATCCCCTGACTTCAGTCGTTTCTTCGCACCTTTCAGTGCTAAGTGCTGTCCAATATAAAAATGAAGTTCACAGAAATGGTGCGCTCCTAACATTTTGAGGCTTTGGAGAAGTCTTTGAACAAAGTTGAGACCACCGTGATCGAACTTGCACCAAAATGCTAACTTGCCCCAAGATGCTACTCTTCACTGCGGGCACTTGTCAGCCGGGAAGCTTCTCTTCTCTTTCCTTTTCCTTCCTCCTTCCTTCTTTTCCTTCCTTCCTTCTCTGATCCCTCCTCCTTTACCTTCTCCCTTCAACTACTGGACTGGTAGATGCCTCGAGAGAAATACCCCTGGACCTCGCAGCGAGAGCACGTCTGTTTGACTGCTCTATTCTGAAGCGAAGCTTGATCCTGCAGTCTATGCTAGTACGAAACTCCATTTTTAGCTACTGACCTGAGCTGTAAGATATGCGAGATGTTTCAACAACTATTTCAGGGGGAGCAACGTTGATAAGCGCTCGTCTTCCTCTGTCCGAAATGACTGGTTTCTCGACGACTTTACGAGTGTTGTCGTCGGGACTGGCGTCTATGCATATACAAGTGGCTGATTACCAGATAGTCTCTGAGCACGATCAAGTCACAATTATTAATAGAATTAGGGGCATTAAATAGAATACAATAAACACAGCGTAGTTTCATAGGTTTTTAGAGTGAAAAGCAGAGTTAGTTGAAAATGTGTAGGATCTGGCCCTCTTTTGTGGTCACGTTTTGATATAGGTGCCCAA